TAGAGGGAGAGGTCCAAGAACTCAGCCAATAAGAGAACATCTAGCAACGCAAAACGGCAGTGGAAGGAAGTTTTCCGATGAGATTGAATTGTTCAACACAGACTCACTTGTGAAGGAGGTATCTCTAGCTCTGCATTCTGTGAATCAGTTTTTCCTTAATGTTCAATCAAAAGAGATTTTTTATGCTGAATTATTCCCATTAGGTTGAGAGAGTTTTTGGTTCTAACCTTCCTAACCCGCTCGAGCTTGATAAGGCCAAGAAACTACTCAAGGTGAGAGACATAATAAGACCGCTGTCTGTGACTAGATATCGGTTCAAAGCAATAGTTAAGTGAAACTTGGTGTTGTTTTTTGGATGATGCAGGAACACGAGCAGGCGCTTATTGCTGCGATTGCAAGGCTTGCAGATGCATCTGATTATGAAAGTGGTAATAATCATGAACAGATGCTTTTGTTTATTACATGTTTTAATATGCCTTTCCATATCATTGTCCAACCTGAGAAATATTTTTTTTTAGTTTTACACATCCAAATCACATTGTTGTCACTAACATAACAACATAACACTTGAGACAAGCCTATTATCGACTGTCTCGACATATGATGCTTCATTTGAAGACAAATTGGGATTTTTCTTTATCTTGGTTTTGTTTTTCTGATGAATCAGATGGAGAAGAACCGTATTCGCATGAGCTTCCTATGCCACAGAAGAATCTTGTTCGACCGGTTCAGTAAACACTTGGAGAAGTTGCTGCGAAGATTCAAGAACTAAACATGTGTGTTTACTTGAGTTGTGGTTTCAAAATTTATGAAAATAATTGTTAGGAATTCTGTTTGTAAAAATTGTTTTCTAAAATTACTTAAATCAATTTGTGGCTTGACACCAATTGAAGATCATATGATGCTTCATTTGAAGATTGCCTTAATAGTATTTGCTCCAAGTCATCATAACATTCAATGCTGACTCAATTATCAAGAATATGATTAGAATTTAAGTTAACATAAATCACCGACCCGACCCACTAATAGACCCAATAGAGAGTATTTTAAAGGATAAGGAAACGAAAAATAAATAAATAAAGGTCACAACTTCGTCTCTACACAACTTTTCTAGGGCTTACCTTTGATTGTTCTTCTCTTCGATTTCGATTTTGCCTTCTCCGATTCTTTCCGTTAAATCGGTCTCAAGGGTTTTTCCATTGGTTGTTCCAATTCGCTTCTGTACTACTGAGACATGGATGCTCGCAAGAGAGGACGTCCTGAAGCTGCTTCACACGACTCTAATGGCGGATTCAAGCGGTCTAAGCAAGGTTAGCTTTTTCATTCCCTCTTACTGCTTCCTAATTGTCTCCAATTGGGTTTTCGAATTCGAGATCTTCATAACTTAGAAACCCGGTTCGTTTTCTAGTTGCAACTTGTGGCTCTGTTTTTAAAGCTTTAGTTTGTTCGTTAACAGTAAAAGATAAGTTTTTTTCTCTCTCTCTCGTAAAGGTGTTTACTAGTAGGAAATCTTTGATTTGTCCTTGTGTTGTGTTTGTTTCTTTGGTTCATTAGAGCGATTACTACAAAACCCAATTCTTTTATCTTCTTTTATTCCAAAGTTTCCAAAATTGTTCAGTAGAGGTAGTTCTAGCTCTTTGTTCTTGAGCCAATGAATATGGAGACTTTTTTCTTACTCTCCTTTGTTTTCTGCTATTACTTTCCCCTTCATTGGATTCATCAATCCACTAGAACATAAGCCAATCCTCTTTGTGACCACTCACATACTGGAGTTGCTTGATTGATATTGATCTATGTCTACTTGTAAGGGCTTTGAGTCCAATTTCAATACTCACTAACCCTGAAAAGCTTCGGTCCCAACTATCATATAGATCAAATACATTTAACGCTGGAGTTATTCCAGAGAAGAGATTTATTGAAACATTATAAAAGATGGAAACTAAGTAAAAACACTTAATGTTTGCAACAGAGATGGAATCAATTTCAACTGGTTTAGGAAGCAAATCGAAGCCATGCACAAAATTTTACAGGTTATAATCATTTTTCTTGATTGAATTAGTATAAATACTTAAAGTTGATCTGGAAATTAAGAAATAATTTTGTACAATTGTGCTAATGAAGTGGAAAATTGTTATACAGGTACGTAGCACTGTTCATCCTTAAACGAGTTAAAAACTATGTAACAATATGTGATCCTCTTATGAACGGATAAGCGGAACTGAACACTACTGGTGACTATAATATACAAAATCAACCAAAGCTTGTCTTTTCTTTGAGCTATGAAAGTTGTTGTGGGATTATCCTTGAGTTGTCCATGAGCCTTTCGGCTCTTGAACAAGATAATGTTCATTGCTAGGGCGCCCGAAGAGAATTTGCTTGGTTACTCTGTATTTTTCTTTTATCTCTTTTGCCCGAAAGGTTAATGCTTTGTTTAGTAAACTTGCTGATGCATTATGCTTTTGTATTGCAGCACTTCTGGATGTCCGTTTGGTGATAACTGCCACTTCTTGCACTATGTACCTGGTGGGTACAATGCTGTAGCGCAGATGACAAATCTCAGACCACCAATTGCTCAAGTTTCCAGAAATATGCAAGATTCTGGTGGTGCGGGTAGATTCTCACGAAGAAGAGATTCAGGACCAGGCCCTGTTTCAAGCTTTGGTGCTTCGGCAACTACCAAGATCAGTGTGGATGCTTCTTTAGCTGGTGCCATCATTGGGAAAGGTGGAGTCCATTCCAAACAGATATGCCGTCAAACAGGGGTGAAGTTATCGATTCTAGAGCACGAAACAGACCCAAACTTGAAGAATATCGAGCTAGAAGGAACACTTGAACAGATCAGTGCAGCGAGTGGGATGGTGAGAGAGCTTATAGGGAGGCTTGGATCAGCTGCTGCTGCTGCAAGAAGACCTCAAGGAGTTGGTGGTTTTGAAGGGAAACCATATCCAGGGAACAACTTCAAGACGAAGCTCTGTGATAAATTCGCTGTTGGGAGTTGTACGTACGGAGAGAGATGCCATTTTGCGCATGGTGAAGCCGAGCTGCGTAACTCAGGAATCGCTTAGTACGTTACTCTTTTTATACTCTTGAGTAGAGAATATGAGTTTGTGTTTCGGTTTTGATTAAGGCAATGGTAGCTGCATTATCATAGTAAGTTTAGCTCTGTTTTTAATTCATAGATTTGTTTCATGCGAATGCGTTTCAAACACTGATGTTAGTGAAACTTTAGACCAATTGATGGAATCTTCACAAGATTCGACGTGTGCTTGCTTAATCACTACTCTTAAAAACTTATAATGGTAAAAAAATGTATTGCACTTTTGGGTTTCTTTTACAATTGCACAATCATTACTTGTTTTGTTGGTTAATTGTTTGTTCTTTTTTATCACATTAACATATCATTTTCATTGGATATATTTTGCTGTTTCTTTTATTGTATATAACTCACTGACATCTTTTGGTAGCGTTTGATCATTTGCACCAACCATAACAAAAAGAACATATATAACCAACCAATAAGAAAACTCAAGAACAAATCTATATATAATAATCAATTTCGGTCCGTTAATAACCGGTTAATAACCGACGTACAAACACGGCTCGAACACGCGTCGACACACGAACTTCTCTACCACCCTACCGCTTCGTACACGTGTACGACCAAGAAGTGCAACACAAAAGCATCACCTCTTTGTTTCATGACACGTCTTGGTGACGTGTCGCCAAGAACATAATTAAATAATAATCACAGTTACCGAATATAGCAACACGTAGCTAACTCGAAGCCTATTTTATAGGACAAGCCTCACCG